AAGAGTGAGGGGGGATTTGATAGCAGCCTTCAACTTCCTGAAGGGAGGTTCCAAAGAGGATGGAGAAAGGCTGTTCTCAGTAGTGACGGATGGCAGAACAAGGAGCGATGGGCTCAAGTTACAGTGGGAGAGGTCCAGGTTGGATAATTGGAAAAACTATTTCACTAGGGCTATGTCTACACTGCCAGGTTTTGCCAGCAGTGAGTATGCAAATGAGGCAGATTAGCGTATTGCCACACCTCATTTGCATGATGTATGCACACCGTTTTTGTGGGGGGGGAAAGGTAGTGTCAACATATTCTTTTTGCACAAAACCCCCCTTTCCCACCAGTTCCTTATGCCCCAAAAAAGGAGATTTATCGATCTGGCAGCAAAATGTGTTTTTGTGCAAAAAGAAAACGTCCACACTACTTTTTTTTCTGCAAAAACTGCTTGCATAAATTATGCAAATGAAGTGGTATGCTAATATATACCTCATTTGCATACTCACTGCTGGCAGAACCAGCAGTGTTGATGTAGCCTAGGAGGGTGGTGAAGCACTGGGATGGGTTACCTGTGGAGATGGTGGAATCTCCCATCTCTAGAGGTTTTTAAGTCTTGGCTTGACAAACCCCGGGCTGGGATGATTTAGTTGGGCTTGGTTCTGCTTTGGGCAGGGGGTTGAACTTGATGACCTCCTGAGGTCTCTTCCAACCCTATGATTCTATGATAGCATTAGAGAGTTAAGTTTTTAAATCATTTAGTCAGTGATGATGATAATAAAAACTATCCTAGCCTGTGCTTTTGAAGGATAGAAATAAGATTTCAAGGCATAATTTCAATTCAGGTACTTCCTAACTTTTTAGTGTACAGCTTTGTGACCTTAAAGTTGAGCTTGCCTTAGGAGGAAGGAAACAAAAAGAAATCATGTGCTGTGAGAGAAGAGGGAAAAGGAAGCATGTACAGAATGGTGGGGAAAATGTCAGAGAATTCATAGTCCCTAGGTTTACATCAGGTATTACTGATATATGCTTTACTTAATGATAATATAGCTGGTCCCTGACGTACGAACGGTTTACGTACCAAATAGCTGGTCTTCACTCGATTTGTACGTAAGTTGGGAATACATGCTTTTAAATATGGCCACGCTGTTTGTAAGTGCGGATGGTGCATTCGTAAGTTGGGGACTGGCTGTAATGAGGTCAAGTCCCCGACTTACAAATGCACCATCCGTAAGTTTGGTCGTAAGTGCAAACGGTCGTAAGTCGACGCGTTCGTAACTCGGGGACTGGCTGTAAAAATAAATACACTTGGTATTGGTGGGGATTTTTAACCTAGATAGTTCTAAAATTTTGCTTTATCTCTGGTTGAAGGTAGAGAACTGAACAGCAATGCCTCCTTGTGTAACTGTTCTGATTATTGGAGCGGGATGTCGGGGGAAACACTATTCTTACTTTGCTGCGCATTTTCCCAGTCGAATGAAGGTAAAATTGTTGTATGGTTTCAGTGTTTTTCAAGGGTTCGCATGTCTTATGATAGTTAATGTGAACAAAGTTCTTTTTGAATTGCAGCAATCACCATATAAAATGTGAGGTTAAACTACTTTAACTATTTGAAAGCTGTTAATAAAAAACAGACCTTTCTTAATATCTTACTACTTTATTCACAGCTCATAACAGCAATTTTAAATTTCAAATTGCATTTGCAGTGCCTTGATTAGAAAAGTGTTTTTTTAAACTACTGTATTTACCTTCTGAAAGTGTTGCATTGAGTGTCAACACTTAGCTTTTCCTTAAGTTTAAAGTACACAATTGCAGTTAGAGCTCCTGTGCGTGCATGCATGCATGCACTTCTCAGAAGTGCAGCATGGTTTTGGTTAAGCAGGAGCATTTATAAGTAATCTGACAAAACAAGTTGGACTCTCCACCCTCCTCTTTAATTATCCTACATGACAGTAGTGTTTTGATTTAGATCACGTGCTAAAAAGAAGTCCCCTTTGAGCAGTTCTCAATGTATAACGTGCAGCAGGAACTCAATCAATATTTATAACTTCAGATACAACAGGGATACATGTTTACAAATAGGATAGTTATATTCAGTAAATCTTGACCTGGACCTGGATCCCTACCTTGACCTTTTCCTTCAACAGGGAGGATGGACGAGAACACCACTTGCTCTTCAAATTCTTTGATCCTTCTTCCCAGTGCTACATACTCTGTAGTGACCTGCTAAAGGTCATTCTTGGCCGTATTTTTAGTTCCCACGTGGAGAAGCAGGAAGTGGTAGCAATCCGAAGGTTTGATCAGATTTGCAATACTCTCGGTCACACCCTGAATTGTAGCTCCTGGTAAGCAGTATGCTTCTCAAGATTCCAGCTCTGGACGACAGATGGATGACTCCGTCCCTCTTAGGAGGGAGTCCCCGACCACCACCACCCATCTTCTTATATTGGGGGTGGTGGTCATTGAACCCCCATCCCTAGGACTATGCATTCCATGCCTTCTGGTAGATGGTGTCTCCTTCTGATTTCTTCTATAAGAGGGCTCTACCAAAGTGTTCTCCACTGTAGTGTCTGTGCAGAGAGCCTGAAAGCAGTTACTTATCTCTAGTGGAATTGGGGATACCTGAGTTGGCTTTCTTCTCCTGGAGGTTACATTCTGCCAGCTTTCTTCCTTGTTCTGTACTGCCCTCACTGGCTCTTCAGCCTGCTGTACCTGTAGTATTACATGCTGCCTTCTATCAAGGAAGTCTTGATCTTCTCTGATGGAATGTATGAGTCAACAGTGTGCGCTTGTAGCCAAGAAGGCTAATGGCGTATTAGGGTGCATTAGGAGGAGCATTGCCAGCAGATGCAGAGAAGTGACTATTGCCCTTTATTCGGCGCTGCTGAGGCCACATCTGGAGTATTGTGTCCAGTTCTGGGCCCCCCACTATAGAAAGGATGTGGACGCATTGGAGAGGGTCCAGCGGAAGGCAACCAAAATGATTAGGGGGCTGGAACACACAATCTATGAGGAGAGGCTGAGGGATTTGGGTTTGTTTAGTCTGCAGAAGAGAAGAGTGAGGGGGGATTTGATAGCAGCCTTCAACTTCCTGAAGGGAGGTTCCAAAGAGGATGGAGAGAGGCTGTTCTCAGTAGTGACGGATGGCAGAACAAGGAGCAATGGTCTCAAATTACAGTGGGGGAGGTCTAGGTTGGCTGTTAGGAAAAACTACTTCACTAGGATGGTGATGAAGTACTGGAATGGGTTCCCTAGGGAGGGGGTGGAATCTCCATCCCTAGAGGTTTTTAAGTCTTGGCTTGACAAAGCCCTGGCTGGGCTGGTTTATTTGGGATTGGTTTTGCTTTGAGCAGGGGGGTAGACTCAGTAGCTCCTGAGGTCTCTTCCAACCCTATAAGTCAATGATGAACATTTCCAGTGACACCTCATATGACTTGTCTTGCATAAAATATATCCTAATTCTGTTAATCATATTCTAATACCACTCTGAAGAATATGGGGTGCAGTGTCACATCTCTGTCCTTAGATTACTGCCAGAGGGTTTGTCACTGATTAATGTGGAGGCAATACGCCTAATGGCCTGTATAGGTTTTGGCTATACAAACTTCCATGTCTACACTACGAAGTTTAACTGACACAAAACAGCTTATGGAGACCTACCTCTGGAGGTGTACACACCTTAGTGCTTCTCCTAGTGCTTGAATTTATCTGCTATACCACACCAGTAAAGCCACTTGATAAACACAGCATAGGGCTTTTTACAGTTAGGGTGACGCAATGACTGTGTAGTAGACGTTGCTTATGTTGTCCAAAGTGGCTTCCAGGAGGTGTCCCACAATGCTCAGTGTAACCTCTCTGGTCACCATTTTCAACTGCCCATTAGCCAGGTAGAAGGTCTCATCTCCTTTAAAGCCCCAGGAAATTTTGGATACTTCAGTAGGGACTAGAATCATAGAACACTAGAACTGGAAGGGACCTCAGGAGGTCATCGAGTCCAGTCCCCTGCCCTCACGGCAAGCCCAAGCACTGTCTAGAGTTGTTGGCCACCAGAGTGAACACAGTGGACAGTGTGCAGGATGAGGAAGTGGATGTGGTGGAGGATGAGTGGGATCTGGTGGCATGGCAAGCCAGGACCTCTTTTTGAGTCCTAAGTAGACTGAGTCCCAGGAATCCAGCTCTGGGGAGCTGGGTGCAGTGGGGAGAGGCTCTGCTAAGTATTGTGCTTCTGCAGGGTCACATCTGTTTATGTACTTTTAAAATTAGGCTATAAAACAGGAGTGGGGAACGTAAGGCCCGGGGGCTGGATGCAGTCTTGAGCTTCCCTGGATCCAGCCCCTGAGACTTGGGGCTTTCCCCAGCATTGGGGAGCCCACACTAGTGAGGGGTGTGGGGGGGGGAGGGTTTCTCTCACTGGTGTGCAGCTCCTGACTGATTTTTCTGTGGGTCAGTGGTCTCTGACCCAAAAAAGGTTCCCCACTCCTGCTATAAAAGATAACTTGTGCAGGAACAATTTCTCCTTGTTCTCCTGTGCAGCTAGGCAAAGGAAACCACATATAAAGGTTTGCTTATGCACAATGGGCTGCCCTGTGAATCCTCCATAGAGATCTCTAGGGCAGTTTCCTAAAGGTAACCTGCAGTCCCCTGCCAGAGGGGGTGGGGTGGGGTGTGTGTGTGTGTTGTGTGTGTGTGTGTCTCTTTGCAAGGGCTGCTTCGTTTCTTACTCTGTGGTAGGAAAGTTTGCCACACTACTCAGCAATTACTTCAGCAGGCATGCATAACAGCACACAGTCCTGATCTGCAGCTGGACCCTTGCAGCCTGAGTTAACCTCACAAATGAGATCTCAGCTGCAATCACCAAATCTGTGGAAAACAGTGCCAGTATTCATTGCAATCATCTTATGTGCTGCTACTGGTATCCCTGGGCTATTACCATCCTTCCTCGTCCCCTCTCCCCAGCTTTGTCACAACTCTCGTCTGCTGGGCCATACTTAAAATGGGTGGGTTTACCACCACACTGAGACTGCACCAAATGAAAATAAGGAAGATGTGCTTGTTGTTTTTTGGATCAAGGGGGTAAGTGCACTGACGCTAACATTTCTCTGTTTTTAGCAGCTATAAATGTGTCCTTGACAGTCTCCTGCACATAGGCACCGCTCTCACATATGGAGGAGTAAAGCAGACATGTTCAGGAGGTGCTGCAGATTGTTAGCAGAGAGGATGCAGTGAGGGAATCGGTGAGAAATTGCCTGGGGTAATTTAGGCTGAAATTTAGGCTTAACACATCTCCTATAACCCATTCAGAGCTGCCTTCCTGCACCTTCCCCATACTCTTTTCCTGCGGGGTCTCAGCAGTTCCCCAGTGGGGCAGTTTGCAAAATGACAGCTAGACATACACCCAGCTCTCAAAGCCTCACTGGCAAAAGTGCTTGTGAATTTGCTGTTCCTTTGCTTTTTAAAGATACTTTCCTCTGTAGGTACAATGTTTAGGTTACCAATACATAAATATGTTTGCATGGAAGTGGGATAAAACTCATCTATGGGAAAGTGAGTAAATATTTATTATTATTCAGCATACAGTGACTATGGCTAATATTCAGAGACAGTACCAGTGAGTGCATTTGCAGTGTTACAGTGGTGTATACACAGTAATTGGTAGCAGGTTCAAACCATTGTGCCAAAAAAAAGGGGGGGGAGGGCTTCAAAACACATTACAGCAACACTGTGACCTACTACTTAACATGCTCCTTCAAAGCCTCACTGATTCAAACAGTTCTCTGTTGAATCGCTCTGACAGTCCTGGTATCTGGCTGCTCAATAACAGCAAATAGCTGCTCCACCCCAAGGGATTGAAATATATTATGATGGGCACAGCAAGCAGCTCTAACCGTGGACATATCTTCCTTGCTGAGGTCAACTCAGAAGTTGGTCCAGTAAAAGATATTAGCTCACTACACCTCGTCTCTCCTAAGGCCAAATCTTCATCACAATCTTCAATCAGATTATACCGATATACGGTTGCCAGTATAATTTAAATGCTGAAGCATGTGTGTGCTATGTTTCTCGTATTGGCAGAGCTCTTGCATTGACACAGACAGATGCACTGTGGATAGCTTTCCCATTGTTCAGTTGGCCACCATCTGCTGCACAGTGTTCTGGGGAGGGTTCCCAATGCCTTATGTGGGGCAGACTCAGTGGGTGTGTTTAAACCACACCCCTCTGTCAACAGAGGGATGTAAATTAGACACATCGAAAGTGCAAATGAAGCGGGGATTTAAATATCCCGGGATTCATTTGCATAATTGCATCCTGGTGCTATTTCGAACAAGCGCCATTTCAAAACTGAAATCGTGGTTTAGATGCAGTTTTTCCGACAACACCAAATGAGGAGTACAGGATCTTTCGAAAATTGCCCCATTGTTGGAAAAAATGCGTCTAAACCACTCTTTCAGTTTCGAAATGGCTCTTGTTCAAATTAGCACCAGGATGTGATTATGCAAATGAAGCATGGGATATTTAAATCCCTGCTTCATTTGCGCTTTCGATGTGTCTAATTTACACCCCTCTGCGGACAGAAGGGTGTAGTTTAGACACACCCAGTGTGCCATCATGCAGCTTTCTCCATCCTATCATTCCATGGGCTTCCTAGTACATTTCACACTGTTGTTTCACAGAACTGCCCATCCACCACCTTTCAGAAAGCATGGATCCTGCAGTGCTCTCCAGTATTGTGATGTCATGAACACAGTGTGCTTAATCCTAAATTATTTCATGAACGGCAACTCTGATGATTATAACATGGTGGTGTCTATCATGCTGCGTGCAAGGAAGAGAAGCAATTAAATATTGCTGCTGTATTCACAGAACGTAAAAATGGCCATACTAGGTCAGACCCAAGGTCCATGCAATCTAGTATTCTGTCTTCTAATAGTGGCCAATGTCAGGTGCCCCAAAGGGAATGAACAGAACAGGGAATCAAGTAATGCATCCGTGATGCCCATTCCCAGCTCCTGACAAACAAAGGCTAGGGATGCCATCACTGCCCATTCTGGCTAATAGCCATTGATGGACCTATTCTCCATGAATCTATCTAGGTCTTTTTTGAACCTTGTTATAATCTTGGCAGTCACAACATCCTCTGGCAAGGAGTTCCACAGGTTGACTGTGAAGAAGACTTCCTCTTGTTTCTTTTAAACCTACTGCCTATTAATTTTATTGTGACCCCCTAGTCCTTGTATTATGGGAAGGCGTAAATAACTATTCACTTTTTCCACACCTGTTGTCATTTTGTGCTCGGGGCTGGCCTGGCCCTGGGCACGTGGTGCATGCATCGTGCCAGAGCCAGCCCAGGAGCATGGTAAGCGCTGGCCCCGGGAGCGCCGCGAATTGGCCGCTCGTGCCCCGGGCGCGCGGTGCTTGGAGGGCGAGGGGGGGGCCCCAGCCCCGGGCGCACAGTGCTTGGGGGGGGCCCAGCACCCAGGAGCATGGCACTTGCGGGGGGCCCCCGCCCCTGAGCACGCGGCTATGGGGGGCCCGCCCCCGGGTGTGCATGTGTCCCCACTCTCTGGCACCCGGCAGGCAAACGGCCACGCCCCCCTGGCGCCCGACAACCTCGAAAGGTTGGGGACCACTGCTCTATCATATTCCATTTTCGTCATCTCTTCCAAGCTGAAAAGTCCCAGTCATATCGCAGACTTTCCGTATTCCTAATTATTTTTGTTGCCCTTTTCTGAACTTTTTCCGATTCCAAGATACCATTTGTGAGAGGCGTTAACCACATCTGCACACAGTATTGAAGCTGGGGGCGTACCATGGATTTATATAGAGGCAATAAGATAGTCTCTGTCTTTCTCTCCTTTCTTAATGATTCCCAACATTCTATTTGCGTTTTCTGACTGCTGTTGCACACTGAGTTGATTTTTTTTCAGATAACTCTCTACAATGATTCCAAGAGTTCTCTCTTGAGTGGTAACAGCTAATTCATTTATGTATATAGTTGGGATAATATTTTCCATTATGCATTACTTTGCATTTGTCAATATTGAATTTCATTACCATTTTGTTGCCCAGTCACCTAGTTTTGTGAGATCCTTTTGAAACTCTTCACAGACTGCTTTAGATTTAACTATCTTGAGCAGTTTTGTGTCATCTGCAGAAGTTGTCACCACATGGTTTACCCCTTTTTCCAGATAATTTATAAATATGTTGACTAGGATTGGACCCTGGGGGACCCCACTAGTTACATCTCTCCATTCTGAAAACTGACCATTTAGTCTTACCCTTTGTTTCTTATCTTTTAACCAGTTACCAATCCATGAGAAAACATTCACTCTTATCCCATGTCAGAGCAGCTGCACATGATGGACAATCAACTGTGGACTTTAGGAACAAGCACTGAGTGATGGAATAACTATGCAGGGTTGGGACAACATGCAGCAACTGGAGAACTTTCAGATGTGCAAAAGCCACGTTCCTAGAATTGTGTGAGGAGCTCATGTCAGCCCTCTGACACCGGGACACAGAATGAGAGCATCACTAAAGGTGAAGAAGTGAGTAGCGATCACTGTAAGGAAGCTAGCAAAGCCAGACTCCTACTGATCAGCTGCAAAACAGTTTAGAGTTGGTAAATCTACTGTGGGTGTTGCAGTGATGCAAGCACACAGTGTCCATAAACTACCTCCTACTATGAAGGGCTGTGAATTTCGGCTATGTGCATGTAATAGTGGGTGATTTTGCAGCAGTGGGATTCTCTAACTGCAGTGGGACAATAAATGGTATGGATGTCCTAGCATGCCTGCCCTGAAGTACATCAACAAGACGGGATATTTGTCTATGATTTTGCAAGTGCTAGTGGATCATTGGGGTCATTTCATTGACATCAGCATGGCTGATCAGGGAAGGTGCATGATGCCTAAATCTTTAAGAACACAGGCTTATGCAGAAAGCTGCAAGCAAAGACTTTCTAGATCAGAGGATTACCACTGGGAACATGGAAATGCCAAGAGTGATCCTGAGAGATGCAGCTTACCTCGGAATACCATGACTCATGAAGCCGTACATCAGCCATCTTGACAGCATAAAGGAGTACTTCAGCAACAGGCTCAGCAGATGGATAATCACTGTCGCATGTGCTTTTAGTTAATTGAAAGGCTGCTGGCATTGTCTACTTATGAAATGAGATCTCCGTGAAATAAATGATGCAGAAAGTGACTCTACCTGTATTGGTTATTTTACTACCTGTTTCAACGCAATTTGAAAAAGAGTAAATTAAGAGAGATGTCCCTGCAATATCCAAGTAAATAGAATTCTTTGCACCAGTTTCTTCCTTGCAACAGGCTTATTTGTGCTAGACTGTAGAGTGTGGCTCAGCTGCTCTGGAGTAAAAAAGAGAGCATGGCTGGATGCATGTATCCCATTCTCCTTCTCCTCCAACAGTTTGCTTTCAGGGTTCATTCTGGTGACTGTGGCTCTTCCAAATTACGTTTGGGGTGGTGGTGGGGGTCACAGCTGAGGGTGACATGCAGCTTGTAAAAACAGCATCAGAGTGACTGTTGGCCTCCCTTGTGTTCTGATACACCTGCTGCAACTCCTTGACATTCATATGGCACTGCTGTGGGTCCCTCGTGTAGCTCTTCTACCCCCTGCCTTGGGCAACGTTTAGGGCTGGAACAGAGGTGTGCCAGCATAGCCTCTTCTTTCCATAGAATCAAGAGACCCCACTACTTTCTTTGCAGTAAAGGCAGGAACAAGTCTGTAATGCAGACCAGCATGATGAGCTGGGCAGTGCTAGGGGAGCTCTCCAAACTCAGCAAACCTAACATGGAATTTCAACAATTCCCAGGCTTTTATAAGGGGAAAGGCATGCTCCTGTGTATCTAGCCTCAGGACAGTGTCGTCCAAAATGGTGACCAGAGTGGTTAGGGTGGGGCATTGTGGAACACCTCCTGCAGGCCACTGAAGTTGACATAAGTAACACAAGGCAAAACTGACACTATATCAACCTGACTCTGTAGACCTATGGTCTATGCCTCCCAGGATGGTGGAATTATTTAGTTAGTGTAGCAGATGAGTTACTTTGATTGAAGTAACATTTTAGTGTAGACACTTAGAGTTGGGTTGATGTTGGCTGCCTTGGGTCGACCTCTTTTTCCCAGATCTGAGAGAGCGCTCTGTATAGCTCAAACGCTTCTCTATCACTAAAAGAGGTCAGTCCAATAAGAAAGATTACTTTACCTAATCTTGTCCATCTACCATCCTGGCACTCACATGGCTACAGAAACACTGGATACAACTAAAAAATGAATCACCTAGTAAATAAGAAATGAATCATTCACCATTTTCTGACATAGTAAAAAAGTACAAATTAAGAGTCTGAATAAATGTAAGTTAAATTACACAATTGCTTAAATAAATTGATATGTATCCTCCTGGTTAGCAAAAAGAAATATCAGACTTACAATTAAATATCACTTTTATGTTAACTCAAAACGTTTTAACACCTACCAACCAATGACAAGATTTTTTTCATGCTGGCTGACTTAAATTTTGATTAAAATAGGTGGTTTAAATCACTTTGGTTTAAATGAATCCACTCTGCACTCGTCTCACGAAATTACATTCAGGTTTCTCTAAAACATAGACTGTTAAAAATCAGAATTTCCCTTGATTGTATGACCCCAATAATGTTGGCAGTCTGTTGAAGTAAGTTAACATGACCATTCTAACTAGCCAGCCCATGCCGTCACAAAAGAGATCCCAGCACGTACTGCACTGCGAATGCTTGGGTGCTGCTGGAAGCAGCTGTAGTGCCTGTAAGTGGGGAAAGCGTTGGGCTAGGGCAGTGGTGGGTAATAGTTTTTGATGGGGGGCATGCCAAGAGTTTAAGTGGTCGAGGGCTGCACTCTTCCAAGCTATTAACGGAGGAGGTGTGGGGTCTGCGATGGAGGTTAAGTGCAGAAGGGAGCTTGGGGTAGGGGATTGGGATTCAGGAGGAGGGTGGGGTCTGAGGGAATTTGGGTGAAGGAAGGGGCTTCAACCTGCATCCAGGGATGGGAGTGCAGGAGCAGGGGTGCAGAGGGTTTGGGTTTGAGATGGCGGGAGGGTGGGGAGGGAGACAGAAGGGGGTTTCCAGCCAATGGGAGCTGTGAAATTGTGCTGGGGGCAGGGCAGCATGCAAAGCCTCTTTAGCCCCTCCTCCAACTTGTGATGGCACTCAGAACAGCACATGGCCATCTGCACATGGCTGCTTAGTGGCGTGTGAGTATGGGACATGCAGGTTGTTGCTGGGCCTCAGGCCATATTTTGCCTGGACCTGAGCAAGGGTGAACATGTAACTGCTATGAATTTTTAATTGTTACGTGGTTACATTCGTTAATGCATTTTTACTTCTGTAATTTTTTACCTTTTAAAAAAAACAATTTACATACAGGAGAGGAAGGAACTCTTTAGGTTGCCATGTCATGAGCTCAGATGTTAAAAAAAAAAATTGCAGACTTATGGCTGCCTGTGCAACTTTAATTTGTCCCTCTTGCATGTGTATGTGTTATGATCTTTAATTACAGTAATGGCCTGCTATTATCACAGCATATCTGTCTCCATCACTGCACAAGATAGATGCATAGGGGAGTCACATTTAGGTTTCACCAGCTCCTACAAAAGTGGTATTTACTAACTTATGAGTAGTGATAGAAATGTAGCCGTGTTAGTCTGGTGTAGCTGAAGCAAAATACAGGACTATGTAGCACTTTAAAGACTAACAAGATGGTTTATTAGATGATGAGCTTTCGTGGGCCAGACCCACTTCCTCAGATCAAATAGTGGAAGAAAATAGTCACAACCATGGGGGTCTCAACAAAGACTATAGTTATCTTACCCATTACAAAGATAGATTCCCCAATTATCACCTCTAATATCATTAGCTCACAGACATTTACCTTCCCCCCCGCATCCCCCTTCTGTTCTGCAATTTGATTTGTCCTTTTCATATGTGTTCTTTTTTTTTAATTGTATCCTTTGGTATATATGGTTGTGACTATTTTCTTCCACTATTTGATCTGAGGAAGTGGGTCTGGCCCACGAAAGCTCATCATCTAATAAACCATCTTGTTAGTCTTTAAAGTGCTACATAGTCCTGTATTTTGCTTTAACTTATGACTGTTTGACTTTGAAACCACTGACTTAGACTTTTTGTATGTAATCTTAATTATGTTGTCCTAAAGAGTTCCTCTTCCTCCTCTGTTTGTAAACCCTATATATACTTGTAAGTGGCTATCTCTTTCCCATTTAGCTGTTAAGTCAGGTTGTACTGCATTTCTGGAATGTTTTCATCAGTGCATGCAGCTGCCTAATCACTTTGTTACTGTTATCTGAATTCTGTTGTTGACATCTTTCTAGTATTGGCACTCCCACAATTATTTTCAGAACATAACAATGTTCTTCTCTTATCAGGTAGTTGGAGTTGCTGATCCTCGTACTTTTGCTAGAAATGACCTTCAGAAGATTCACAGCATTGACAAGAAAAATGTATTTAATGGTAACATTTGCCTCGCTGTCTTATTCTAAAAGCCATATTAACAAGACTAAATGAAATATATTTTGTTCTCTCTTTGCATATATGTTTATATGCAGTGCCTTTTAGGACATACATCTATGGCTTGTATTTATAGAATATAGTTTAATTTTATGTTTTTAAAAAAGTCTTAGAATGCCCAGCTCAAGGCTTTGTGGAGTCTTGATGTAGTTTAAAAAACTATTAACGTCTCATTTCTAAAAGGATGATGTTCCCTTACTGACTGTAGATGTAAGAACAAAATTATTTATACTGGATCAAAGAAACAACTACTGTTGCCACATTTATTGTCATGTATTCCTTTTGTGACTCTTGTATTCTACAGTAATAGCTAAATGTTTTTGCTGTCAGAATAAGGGTACATCTACACTGTGGAGCTATTTTGGGATACTGGAAGTATCCCGAAATAGCTACTCTGTGTCAATTTGAAGCAGCCTGTTTTTTAAATAAATTTCGAAATAAAGGGTGGCTTATTCCGATGTCCCAGTAACCCTTGTTCCACAAGAGTTAAGGGGAATTTTGAAATAGCACGTTATTTTGAAACTTGGTGTTGTGTAGACAGTGCCAAATTATGAAATAGCTATTTTGATTGTATTTCGAAATAACTTGTGTGTAGCTTATTTCGAGCTAAGGATGCTGAGTAGATGCACTCTAAGATCTGTAATGTGATATCTACCACTGAAATCTTAATACTTTTAAGTATAGTAGAGACCTGCTTAACTGAGTCTCTGTTTACTGTTGGGGAAACTCTACATCAAAACATTAAAAATTCCTCACGCATTTTAAAATTCCGCATACTCTATTTGTCAAACTAATACAACTATTTTGACAATTGATTTAAACCACAATACAATGGATGAAGGATAGGAGTAGGGCACACTGAAGAAAATCTCCAAGCTCCCTTTGTCTGATAGTAAAATAGCTAGGTTTGACCTTTTATTTCTAGTTATTAGTCAACAGCTGTATGCTTAGTATTATATCACAGGCGAGTGAAGTCTGGAGAAACAAAATTTATATTTGTTACTCACCATTTCCAGAAAAGCCAATAGTAAAGTTCATGGAGCACATTTTGGTAAGAACATTCTTCAGTCCAAAAATGTAGACCAGTTATATTGGCTAACACATCATAAGCATTCATAAGGCTATACTGTCGCTTATAAGAAAGCACTTTTACACCACTTTGGCGTTGTAAAGGACCCTTAAATCTTTTACACCTGTTTTATACTCCTGGGGGAATTCACCTAAGAACAATGGGAACAATTGACTAAGCAGGCAGGCTGCTATATTCGTCTCTGTCTGAGGGGACAGTGACTGCCCCATGTCTACCTGCTAGGAAACACCCGAAACCCCGCTTCTCCTTGTTGGGTGTGCCACAGTAGTGAGAGAGGACAGAGTCTTGTTCACTCACATGCCCAGCCCCACTTCCACCGTGTTGATTGATGTATGAGGATGCACGCATGCCTGCCCAGCTCTGCACATACATGTCTAGCCGTGATTTACATCTCCACAAGTTGCTTTGGACGTGCCTGTGCTACTGGGCAGGGCACGTGGTTGCTCTTGCTGCTTCCCTTTGTTTCCATGTCAGAAGTAATTTTTCTGTGGAGAAGCAAAGGAATCTGCAGATGACATGAATTCTGCATGTAGGGCGATGGCACAGAATTCCCCCAGGGGCACTCCATTATTTTGCTGTCCTTATTAACTATATCACTGTCAGCCCCACAGGTGGCCATACTCTGATTTACCTGGATTTTTGCTTATCTGATCTGGTGCTGGTCCCAACAAGATTGGATAATTGGATTTCCACTGTACTCAATAAAATAGTGAGCTATCATTTTAAAACAAAGGATGTGAGTTTAGGATGGGTTAGGGTTAGGGAGAGAATTTTCTCTCTGCTTAGGGAGAGAATTTTTAGATCTTGGTAAAGTGATAGGTATTAATTTAAGCCAGCCTGTAATGGTGGAAACATTATAGTAACGGTATTTGTGGGTTTATGCATTTCAGGATGTCTGACAGAAGTTAGCAGTACGGGGGGTGACACTGCACTCCATATTTTTCATAGAGATATGATATATGATGATGGCATAATTATGATGTATTTCATGCCAGATAGGTCATGTAAGATAATTGAAGATGTTATAATTTACTGAATATGATTGCCATATTTGTATGCATGTATCGTTTTGTATCTTAATTTTGGAATATTTTCTATGTATCTGTATCACAAATGTGTTTTACACATGGGAAACACTAGACTAGTGGTTCTCCAAGTGTGGTCTGCAACAGTCTTTCAGGTGGGCTGTGGGATTGGGGCTTGCCCCCTCCCCGCCATGCAGCAGGGAGTACATGCTGATGCTCTAGCCCTAGCTTCCTTCTGTAAGGTGTGGGGGGAGCCCCAAACCTCACAGGTCAGATCTGGCTTGCGGGAGCAGGAAGCCGCTCTGCATGCTGCCACTCCCTTCCCCCTGGCCGAAATCATGGCCAGTGGGAGCAGCACAGGGCAATGCCTGGGACTGATGGGGTGTACAGAGCTGGGTAAGTGCCCTCTATCACCTTCATGCCTAGATCCTGCACATCCATCCCTCTCTTACACATTCACTGAGACCTTGCACCCCACTCCTGCCCAGACCCTTTGTCCTCAGCCTGCTCCTGCACCCAGCCTCCCACCCTTTCAAGGCTGTTCCCCACTCTGGCACAATGAATGCAGAAGTGCGGGCCCACAAAAGCACCCCAAAACCTGATCTCTACAGGCTTTGGTACCAAAACTTCCCCCAAAACTCTAATAGCCGGACTTTGGAAAATAAAAACTACTGCCGCCACCTAGGTAATGGTAAGAAAACCAGGTAAGAGATCACTTGGGAAATCTCAGTCCTAAAGTAAAACCAGGATACGCAAATTAACCAATACTGGGTTAAATAAAACAGAACTTTTATCATCAAAACAATACCCCAGTTACAAGCATAGTTGGACTGAGCAGCTGCTAAGAGCCACCAATTAATATACTCATGGAGGATTCCCCCATGGGCCAAAACTTAGTTACAAAAGAGAGGAAAACTCATTTCTAACAGCACAGACACCAGATCCTAGTTCTAAAACCAGAAACCAATAAAACTTGATAGATTTATCTAGACTTTGCCTTACTTACATATTATGAAGAGTATTTTTCTTGGAGAGAGACCTGTCTTCTGTCTCCCTCAGTACGTAGAGCCATGGTCACCAACCGGTTGATCGTGAGGCATTCGCCCCTCCTCCCCCATTTTCCCCTACCCCCGAGAAGCCCCACTACCTACCTTCAGCGACAATGGAGGTAGTGTCTGCTTCCCGCGGGGTGGACGGAAGTCCTGCAGCTTTGCGCCACTTTGCAACTTCCGGGGATTCCGGAAGTGCGCTGGCTGCTCCCCTCCCACAGGTCAGTGGTGTGCTGGGCGTGATGCAGGAGAGGGCGTTGGCCCCAGAGAAGGAGCGTGGCAGCTTCCCTGGGCCACAGGAAGGGTGAGTCAGCCCCGGGGCAGGCACGTGCGGGGTTTCTCTGCGCCACGGGAAGGGAGGTTGGCCCTGGGGTAGGCACGCGTGGGAGCGGGGGTCGGGCCCGGAGGAGGCGCATGCCGGCTTCCGTCTGGGAGGCCAGGAATCCTGAGAGGAGGTGGGTGCAGGAGACTCCCACTTGCACCCCGCTCCCACTTCCCTGCCCCATCTTCCCACTCTCCACCCACAGCACCCTGTCCCCTGCGGAAGCACCCACTAGCACCCTTCCCCAGTACTATGTCCCCTGCTTCCACCAATACAATTGGGACCACATTAGTGAAGCTTGGCAAGGCGGGGCGGGAGTTGGAGGAGGATTTTTTTGCATCTCACTTGTGTGGCCCCAACTGACTTTTCTTGGGTCAGTGACCCCGACTCAAAACAGGTTCCCACCCTTCTCATAAATAAAGTCAATGCAGAAACTTTCTGTGTTTGACACAGTATTTTATTTGAAAATGAAGCCTGGCCAACAAACCCCCAATTGGGGCCAAGCCCCCATCTGCCCACAACATCATAACACTCCTGCACTCCCTCTTCCCCCAGACCCTACATCTGAGCCTATCATGCACTGGAACCCCCTGCCCTGAGCCCCTCATATACCGCAACCCAAATTCCTGCACCCTCACATCCAGAAGTCTGTGGCTTGCTTAGTATCCAACCCTACATCTTACCCCAACACTGCCTGGCCTGAAGTCCCCTCCCAGACCCAGCATCCCCTTCTCCTCCACCTCCTGCATCCAGATTTCCTCCCAGAGCTTGCACCTCTTGCCCCTTCCCACACCCAAATCCCTCATTTCCACCCCAGGATGTACACATCCTGTCTCAACCCAGCGAGGGTACGGCTAGACTGCGGGAGTTTTTCAGGATTCCGGAGATACCCCAGAAAAAGTCTTCTGTATCCAGGGATGCGTTTGTTCTTCTGCTTCTTTTAGTGGAAGAGCAAACATGTTCTTCCGGTCAACCCCTATATTCCTCTTTCCACGAGAAATAAGGGGGCTTCCAAAAGAAGGGTTTTTCTGACATTTGGTCCAGTCTAGACAGGCCAAATGTTGGAAAAACCTCTTCCTACAGAAGAATTGGGGAAAAAAGCAGCAGTATAAGAGTTGGGGATAGCAAGTGATGGAGAGGAGGAGAACAGAGAGGGTGGGACTTCAAGGAAGGAGCGGGGTGGTAGATCTTGGCTTGTTCTGCCATTTAAAAAGTGATCCTGGGTATAAAAAGGTTGGAGACCCCTGATCTAGAGAGCAAAACTGACTGAGACAAAGGAGGGAGAAGTTAAAAATTCCTTTGTCTCAGTTTGAAATCCCTACCTGCCTTACCATTGGCTGATCAGAGCCTGGCTAGGTTAACCCCTTAGTCCCCAGGCTGCTGGACATCCCTCATGGCTATGACACACCCAGACCCCACATCCTCACCCTGCTCCTGCACACCTCCTCCTGCCCAAGCCCCTGCCCCCAGCTCACTCCGTCACCCAATCTCACCTAGACCACCACTTAGTCTAGTCCTGCACCCAACCTCCTAGCCAGATCCCCACCCCTCTCCTTCTGGACCACAGATATTGCTGGACCAGAGAGTTCCAGTTTTGGGAGATAGAGCCTGTACTTACAGGTACTAATTCTCTTACTGCATTTTCAGTCTAATACACATGCTTTAAAGAGGAATTTCAAAACAATCTTGTATAAAAAGACTTTGTGCAAATATGTAAGCCATGCATGTAGAAGCTTTGTGTGTATTTAAATATAATATTTGTTTTGATTGAGAAAATAATTGTTTTACCACATAAATATAATTATCCTTTATTTTGGGATTTTTATAAAGGAATAAAGAAACATTTTAGAAATGTGATGAAACATTTTAAAAACAGATCAAAAGGATTTATTTAGACTTGCTAAACAATTTCTTTAGTTTAGGCTGTAATCTTTGGTCCCTTAATATGGGTCATGTTGTTTGAGAAAGTTAAGTGTCTAAAGTAGGATCTTAGGTCCAGTCAATTTTGCCTTCAGTGAATACAGACCCTTAGAATTAAAATACTGTCTAAGCTTTAATTATAGCATCAATTTAACAGACCACTTGGAATTTAGCCTAAAATTAATTCAGGTGGTGGATATAAAACTTTCACTGTTGTAACAAATAGTTTATTGTACTGTCTTTAATGTGAAACAATATTTGTCTGTTTTTGTACTTGCTCATTTTTAATAACATAAGTCTGTCTCAACTTCTTACATTAGATGACTTGCTATTTTAAATCTCTTTTCTTTTAGACTGGAAAGCAGCCATGGAGAGAGAGAGGTTTGCAGATGCTGTTGTAATAGCAACACCAGATAGACTGCATAAGGTACTAAGTACTCTTTGAGCATTAGACAAAAATCATAGCTGGAATAATAAAGGAGAGCCCCAGATAATAAAGTGCACATCTTTCACCTTGCTGTCTCTTTCCAGTCTTAGTTTGTTTACTATGTTGATCCATTCTTTCTCACTACGTACTTGATATGCACTTGGAAAACATGATTATGCATGAATATTCAGTGGCAGGACCAGTGTTCCCTGTAAGCTAAGCAGAGAGTTCAATGCTTCCCAGCTGATTAGCAGAGCTCCCAAAGGTAGCAGCATGTGTTTCTATTAATGGTGCATGTTTGCACATGCCTTGGTGTACATAAAATTTATTCTGCACATGGATGGAAAAATTAGAAGGAACATAGGCCAGGATTTAAGTCATTCTCTACTAATAGCTTCTGTGTTAGGAAAAATTAAAATCCCAAACTCAATTACTATCCTGTTAAATGATGACAAACCTTGTCCAATGTTCCGTTGAACTTCCGCTCACCAGATGGCTACGAGGGTATCCAGTTGCTGAATCCTTAGGTGTTTTAAACCTTAATGGAGTTCTGCCAGTGCTGCTGTCTTAGGGCTTCTGGTCTCATTCTCACATTGCCAGTCTTCTTTCTGATATTCACACCAAAGAGCCAAAGCCACTTGTTCCCTGACCTAGCTGCTAGAAATAGCGCTGACTGTGACTCCTCAAACTCGTCCAGTAGCTTGACCACACAACAGATCACTCAGATGGTGGGTGTAATTTGTAAACGCATATATACTGGGCACAGGGTTCTGCAGTGCAATTGCTCTTTCTTTGTGTATTTCTCTTGCTAGTAATCTGTTTTAAAATAATGACTCCTACATCCATTTCCCTTTTCAGTTTCCTCAGCACTCTGGAATGTTTTCTGGATTGAGGTCACGATGTCTGGGACAGTTGCATGGTTTGGGTTCTGAAAGCTGGAGCTTTTCCCCCCAACTTAACTCCTTCCCTTGACTGTTCTGTTTCCTTTCCCTTTCTGAGTGAAAATTTCCTGTGTGTTTCTGGAGCCTTTCTCCCGTTAATGCTTTCGTAACCGCTTGCTTGGTCACGTCTCTCCTGTTAATTTCCACTCCCTCTGCTTTCCCCCTCATTTCATACAAGATCAACTTGAACAAGGCCATTGTCCTGAGGGGTGCTTCATCTTGAATAGATGGCCACTGACTTCCACCATTGTACCTCCTAGTTGAGGAACGTGCTTGTTGGTAATGCTAGCTACATCGATTGTATTCTCACTTAAAAGTAATATTGGCATATCAGTGTCAAGAGATGTGAAAAAAATAAACCCCTCACCAGCACAGCTAGTCTGACAATGTAAATGCAGCTATATCAACAGAAGAGTGCTTCTGCTGATGCAGCACTCCAAGAAAAAACGGTTACTCACCTTTCATAACCATTATTGGGGGAGGGATAGCTCAGTGGTTTGAGCATTGGCCTGCTAAACCCAGGGTTGTGAGTCCAATCCTTGCGGAGGCCATTTAAGGATTTGGGGCAAAAATTTGTCAGGGATGATACTTGGTCCTGCTGTGAAGGCAGGGGACTGGACTCAATGACCTTTCAAGGTCCCTTCCAGTTCTAGGAGATAGGCAATCTCCATTAATTTAAAAAATAATAATTTAATTTAATTTAACCATTGTGCTTTGAGATGTGTTGTTCATGTCCATTCTGATACCGACCTTTCCTCTCTGTTGGAGTAGCCTGCGAGAAGTAACCAAGTAGAGAGTAGTTCGGCAGGGTCCTATATTGGGTGTCATCTCAATGCCACTCCAAGGGGCGTCCAGGTGGACCCTGTGAGTAGCTGCTAGGGGGGAAATCTTCCAGCTACTCTACACGTGCATGCGCACACACCTGACTAGAATGGACATAAGCAACACATCTCAAAGAGCAATGGTTACGAAAGGTGAGGAACGGTTTTTTACCATTGCCCATGCACAGAGTTGTCAGATTCTGCTGGTTTTTGACCATGTAGTATTTTTTTCCTGCCGGTATTACAAAAATGACACACACTTAAAGCAATGGCACGTGAAGTGAGGTGCCTGCGGATTGCACACAACATTGACTGTGAGAGCCATGTGCTTCCTCTGCATCAAAAGTAAACTACCCAATTCCGGGAGACCATCTTTGTTATGACAGTCTTGTGCCGCGCTGAGGTGAAGGAAAGTCACTCATGTGGCCCAGTTGATAGTCTAGGTTGCCCATGATTGCTGTAGTATCATTATCGCTACCCCTGTGACTATTTAAATACTTTATACCAAGTGTAACAGCTTCTGGAGTGTTACTTTATACCAAGTGTAACAGCGACTGTGTTGATGCTATCTCAGAACACTCAATGCCCTACCACTAGACTATTTGGTTGGAAGCGTGGGTCGCTAGTTCAAATCCCTCCTCTGAGCAAGATGGAGTGGGGACTTGAACTTGGATCTCAGACATCCTAGGTAAGTGCTCTGACCATGGGATTATGGAGTGATGGAGGCATTTCCACACTCCTTGGTTTTTGTGAATGGCACCTAATTCCCCTTGGAAATCTAGCCCAAAAATTGTTGTGGGCCAAAACTATTTGATGATATTATGTGAAATTTGCATATTTTGATGATAAACTGTTTGAAAAAAATTGTTTTTCTACTTGGGAGTAGACAATGATATGGAGAAATGTAACGTGTCTCTTTGGTTTCTCTCTTTTCCTAGGCTCCAGCAATAGCTTTTGCTAACAAAGGCTACCATATTTTGTTGGAAAAGCCCATGGCAGTAAGTTCAGCAAGGTCATAATATTCAAGTTTAAATAGTGGAGATAATTTTCAAATATCAAGTTAAAATCTTCAATCAAATTGCCTTAGCATCTTTTTTGGTACATTTGATAATTTATCAAAGGTTTGGTCTGTCATCTTTTATATTTAATAAACAAAAAATGAGGAAAAAATTGTCTATAGTCTTGGTTTCCTAATCCTTCCTTTTTTTTATTTCACTTAGAATATAAATTCCTTGGAGTAGAAACTCCCTTAAAGTAAGTGTGTGTGTGTGTGTGTGTGTGTGTGTGTGTGTGTGTGTGTGTGTGTGTACAGCCCTCACCCATATAAGTCTTATTGTAATAAGTAATATTCTACCTGTCCATAAATATAATGTGGAGTTTGCTTTAAAGATGTTAAAATGCGGTTAATTGACTAGTCGATAGGCGCTTCTGCATTCCTTCTTTGAAATGTACCAGAGTCCCCAGCTCTTGTACATTCAGCGTACAGCCCAGGGCCAGTGGGAAGTCCCACTGACTCCGGCTTGCACGCGGGTGCCTTCTTTGAAGTGCACAAGAGTCCCCAGCGGGGACTTAAAGTCCCCCACTGACCCCAGGCTCCATGCTATGTTGCATGCTGCTAGGAGCCTGGCATCAGCTGGGGAGTCCCCAGCTGATCCCAGGCTCCCTGCTGCATTTCCCAGGCTTTTCCCAGGCTCCCCACAGATCAGCTGTTGGACAGCGGTCCCTTTAAACCACGCGTCCGCGTGATTCAAAGGGGCAGCTGCCTGGAGCCCGGAGTCAACTGAGGACTCCCCAGCTGACCCCAGGCTCCTAGTGGCATGCAGCGTAGCATGGAGCCCGAGCTCAGTGAGGGACTGAGAGTCCCCCTCTGACCCTGGGATCTGTGGCTTTGAAATGCACAAGAGGCCCCTCTGGGGACTCTTGTGCATTTCAAAGAAGGTGCCCACGTGCAGGCCAGCATCAGCAGGACTTCCCGCTGGCCCCAGGCTGTACGTGGAGTACCACATTCCTCCTTTGAAATGTACAAGAGCTCCAGTGGGGGCTCTTGCACATTTCAAAAGACACTAGTCAAAAAACTATCCAATAAGCAAATGTTTATCAGATAGTCAACAAGTCTTTAACATCCGTAGTTTGTGTCCTTACGGTTTGTGTCTCTGGCTTTGGGATCTTACAGTAAGATGGTCCTGTTAAATTTATGATGCCATGTAACTTCTGTTGCAATATAACATAACATTGGACACAGGATTTAGATTTCATTGTAGAATCTAGCAGAACAAAAAATAAAATGTTGGGTTTAATTCTTTCCTGCTATCTGCTGTAGAGTGCCCTGAACCTGCATCTTTGATGTCAGCGAGAAACTTTCCATTGACTTTACTGGGCACAAAGCTAATTCTGAGTCAATGGAATACTAGTACCTGCAGTCTCTATCTTTCTTCCTAAATGTTTTTGTACTTCCAAATTTGTACTATGTGAAAGTTGCTTTACAGACCTATTACATTTTCACCAGTTTGGGGTGCTATATAAATTGTTGTTTATATTTGTACTCATATGCTCAGTGCTGTATATGACTTGAGACAATCCTTTCCCCCAAAGAGTACTATCTAAATAGACAAGATGGACATGAAGTGTCAGACAAAAGAATATTATCTTCAATTTACAGCTATAAAGTGAGGCACAGGGAAGCAACATGGTCATGGTAACGGAGTTTGACAGTGCCTTACAGTTGATCACAATTTCCTGAATTACCTGGTAGTGCCTTACTCATCCCACCACTATTCCTCTAATGTCAGATACTTTAATATCCAGCATGGTAGGTCCTACCAAACATCAATATATGAGCCTAAATCTTTAAAAAATCATGACACAAATTTTCCATCAATAAAAACGATTTGGTGCTTTGCTAAAATCTTGAATAACAGGTTTCACTCTGCAGGAGAGTTGTTTGGTCTCGTTTAATATACTCTCTAATGATGATGCAAACGTATACATCACTAGACTAGAGTATTATTGGTGAGTGCCAGTCTCCTATACTTGCAGATAAAATTTCAATTTAGCAAATATGTGCCTAGAAAGGTATTTCATAAGATGTATTTTTCCAATTGTTAGTGTTGTGACAATTAGTAAATTCCTAATACATAATGCAGTCAGAATAGAAACGACTGAGTTCTTTTCTCTGGTTTATAAGGTAACACCCGAGGACTGCAAAGAGATTGTGTCTGTCTGTAAAGTGAACAAAGTCATGCTTGCTGTGTGCCATGTCTTGCGGTACTATCCAGCCTCACTGAAGATAAAGGTACACTTATTGCTATAACGCTAGCTAGTAGAGTCAGTAAACATTCCTTCCTTCTGGGTGATATGGATGTTAACTGATACTGGTCAAGGGAGTAGGCTCAGTAAATTCCTGTATTGCTGTGTGCCACACTCCTAATATTACTATGAAAGATAGTTTTTTATTCTCTGATCTGTTAGAATTGCAAAAAGCAGCTATGAAAGTTTAGGCCAGGACTTTAGTTGACTGAGAAAATAAGATTGTAAACGAAATTCCATTAAGAGATTTCCCAAATGGCTTAGGCTATACATTAGCTGGCATTTTAGGATCCACAAGTGTTAAACATGTTTTAGAAGTATTTCTACAAGACTACTTTGGAGCTGTTAGAGCAAAGGTGGACAACAATTTTTAATGGGAGGCCGCTCCAAGAATTTGGTAAGTGGTTAGGGGCCGCACTCTTCCATGATATGAATGGAGGATGTGTGGAGGTTGGGTGCAGAAGGGAGCTTAGGATGCAGGATTGGGTGTGGGATCTGTGAGGGAGTTTGGGTGAAGGACGGGGTTGTGACCTGGGAGAGTTATAGGTGTAGGATCAGGGATGAAGAGGGTTTGGGTTACATGGGGTAGGAGTGCAGAAGGGGAGGGAGGGCTGAGATGCCCAAGGCAAGTTCTTGCTGGGAAACACTTATTTGGGTGGCTCCCAGCCATCAGCCTAGCTGGGACATCAGCCAAGATCCCTGTCTTCCATGCCCCTGCTCTGGCTGCAGGGGCCACATTTGATTGACTTAGAATGCTGCGAGCCCAGAGGAGGGAGGGGTACTTTTGCACACTGCCTTTAATGCAAACAGGCAACTCCCATTGGCTGGCTTCCTGGCAGAGAGCTGCTCTGAGTGCAGAGCAGAGATGGGGCAAGCAGGGAGCCTGATGGAGGCTCCTGTGGGCCAGATCCAGTGGCTTGGCAGGCTGTATTCTGCCCTCCCCTGAGATACAGTGCGCTGTATCAGTGAGAAATGCAGCACTGCAGATGTCTTTTTACACATTATTATTCCGAGATTTAGCTTCCAGACTTGCTAGTTCTGCTCAGGGAGACAATCTTGATATCGTTGTTCAATTAAGACTCCACTGTAGAATTCCTTTGCATCTGGGGGCACAATAGAGTGGTTACTTGGAGATGATCACTTGGGTGGTTTTAGGCTCTGGGCCTTCCTTGCCCACTATTTCAAAGTCTTGTGGATGTTTGGTTTTGTATTGAATTGAATGTGTGCTCCACTTCAGGTGAAAAGTGTCCTTGTGCCTTTGACTGGAGAATTTTACAGCAGTGCTCATCTGGGTCTCCTGATTTTGCGCTGTTCAATATTACTTCGGGAGTCTGGAAGGTTTCCTGAGCTGGAGAGTCCATCCTTGCAGCTTTTCAGGGTTGGTCTACATGACGTTTGGTCCTCTCATGGGGAATGGACTTGATAACCTCTTGAGGTTCTTTCCAGTTCAGTGAACCCACACTTCAAAATTTAAGTGGCCAGCTCACACACTGGTTTACCTAATGGCTTTGTCTGTCTTACATGTAAATATAATTTCATTGTCTCTCCTTGTTCGGTTTACATTGGAGACACATCCAAGCACTTGTAACCACGTTCCTTTGTCCAGAACAGGATGACTTAAACACTGCCTGCCAAATGCATTTTGAGAATGTATTTCCAGTAGGGATATTAAATTTTGATTAATTGACTAACAGCTGTTGCAACACTTCAAAGACAAAAGTGTTGCGTGGAGCATGGGGCCAGTGGGACAGTCTCCCGTTGGCCCCGTGCTCTCTACGGCATTTGTTAGCCGGTGGCCAGGGTAGTGAGTGGTCTGTGAGCCCTATCGCACCCGAGTCTTTGCTAGGACAGAAGTCCCTTCGCAGCGGGCAGCCAGGGAGGCTGACGGGTGCCCCAAAGAGTCTGCCCCGTGGAGGCGGCACGACTCAACGCTCAGCTCTTACTGCGTTTACCCCTGATTGGCTATGGTTCTTTTGATTGTGTTTGGTTCTGTTACAGCAACAGGAGGAGTCAGGTTAAAGCTTAAACAATTACTATTTTATTGTTACAAGGCAAGCTTAGCTGTTAAATGTTACTGCTGTGTTACAGATGACCCAGCCACTACAAAAGGCAAGACAGAAAATACAATGAAAAGTCACTTAAAGGTACCATGAAACCCTTTTGGTTCTCTGAGCTCTTATTGAATGTGCGCAAAAATAGACACCTAGCAGATATATTCTCACTCCTGCGATCCTTACTGCAGCGAAGCCAGCGTTTCTCTCAATCCAAATGGGAAGCAGTCGGTACGAGACAAAGGTGTCCCTAAAGTCTCGGGGGTCCAAGACCGCCTGACCAGCAGGTATATGGGTGGATCTCCAATTAGAGTGGGGCACAGGGCCCTACTTTATACCCCTGTGGTCACATAGACACGGCTCTTGTCATTAAAATGCCAATTAAGTTGGAATGTCTTTGTGACGCCCATTCCCACAGGGGGTCCAAAGCTTAATTTGCACCTGTGAGGTGGAGGTAATTAAACCATTAGGGCCAGACATCCTTTTTCTGATGGGGCGGCAGATTCCTCTTCTGGGACGGTGTGTGTAGGCATATCAATACTGGTACCAGCCAAAGGCAGCCCAAGGCCCCCGACTGCCTGCTGGCCCAATTGTCGCTGTTATCTGGTTCCTGACTAGCTTCCAGGGCCATTGTTATTCCAGCACCTCTGGAGGCCCTGGAGCCTTTGAAGACAGAGTTTTGCTCTCAAGGATTCTCTCTCCCAAGGATGTCAGAAGGAAAGTGGGGGGGGGGCTGTTGTGTCTGGCTACAGCATTTCAGAGTGACAGCGCCGTGTGGAGCCTGGGCTCAGCTGGGGACTCCCCTGCTAATCCTGGGCTCTGTGCGGCGCTGCTGTTTTGAAAGGCCACGGGGAGCCTGGCGTCAGGCTGCATGCAGCATTTCAAAGTGGCAGCGCCACGTGGAGCCTGGAGTCAGCTGGGGGCTGCACGTGGTGTTTCAAAGCAGTAGTGCCATGTGAACCCCAGGCTCTGGCCCCAGACTCCATGCGGTGCTGCTGCTTTGAAGCACCTCTTCTCTTCCCTCCTCTCCCACTTCCTTGTTGCTTCTTTCTGATACAGGTAGCAAGGGGAGTGGAAGCGACTAGTCGACTAGCCCGTTGACTATCCAATAAGCATTTGCTTATTGGATAGTTGACTAGTCGTTCACATCTCTAATTTCCAGCACATATTTATAATTTTTCAGATACCCCACAATCATATTGGTGATGAGCATATCATCAGTTCATAGATGATAGCAGGTTATGACAATAGTGAAGTGGATCAGTGAGGGTATGTCTACACTACAAGGACATTTTGAAATAAGTTATTTTGGAATAATAACTCCTGAAATAACTATTTCGAATTAGCACATCCACACTACAGGGAAGCCTCAAAATTAGTCTGAGGCAGGCTCCCCTAATGAGGATGCACTACCTCAATTTAGAGCCCCAGGAAACACTGGGAAGTAATTACTTTGAATGGCCCTGGGGAGGAGCTATTTAGAAATAGCAGCAGAGGAGCATCGTTGTTCCTTGTGAAATGAGGGTTTATTATTCCGGGATAAGAAACCTGTTATTTCAAAATAATGCTATACTATAGACGTGCCCTGAGTGTGTCAAGTCTCGTTTAAGTTATGTGATGGCGCACCCTCAGCCAGTTGTTATTGAGAGGTTCATGGGGTCAGAACAGACTTGACAAGTTAAAAAAGATGCTGCTAATTTTGATTTAAATTTATATTTAGTTGTAAATATATTTGACTTTATAGAATAATTATACTGGAGAGAGGCAAATGAGATATACCACGAGAATTTTCAGTGAATTGTCAGACATTGGTACCTCTCTTTATTGACTAAAGAATGGTAAAGAAAGTATAGCATTCAAGTGCAGTACAGTGGTTTTTACTGCTGGGATTTAGATGCAAAAGGAAGGAATTCCTAAATGAGAGAAGCAGCAAAACCTTTCTAGGAAATTTCAGTAATGGACTCTTGAACTTAATATAAATAAACAAATCTGTTCTCTTTGAAATAATACAAAGGTATTAAAAGAATAGATATCAAAATTTGAACAAAATACTTTAATAAGCTTTTAAAATATTTCACAAAAACATGATGTATACAAATAAACTTGAAAGTTTCAGCTAATGTTGGTTGGTGCAATTCAAGGAGGCATACCATCGATTAAATCTTTTAGAAATCACAAACTTTTGTAAGTGTGGCACTCTTAAGCTAAAGTTACGTAAAACTGTTCTGAGACCAGCTGTAACATTCAATGCATGCACACAGACCACTGAATGGAAACCTTCTAAATGTGAGGAAGCTGATACACGCAACTCAGATGATGAATACCATGTCATGGAACTGAGTGGATGGAGGACAGACCTGTGCTAGAAAGAGTGGAACCTTATTTGGGGCATATGAGTAGGTCAGTTAGACTGCAATTGCTTAGAGACCAAACGGGCAAGATAAATTCGTTAGGTTACACAACAAGTGGAAAGTTTTAAAATCCAGATGAGATTCTGTAGGAACCATCCCAATGAAAGTCTGTTCAGGAGATCTGCTAAATCAGAGAATCTGATGCCCAGTGTTGCCCACTCACTGCCTATCTATGCCTGCCTATTTTGTGGGCTGTGCCAGCAACTTTTATGCCATCAGTAAGAGACGTTTTTGACTCTCGGGGGACTACTTAGTGCCAGGAGTCAACAACCTAGGTACTATGAAAAGAACCTAGCTGGGCCTTTTAAGAGTATCATAGGCCACATCTGTACTTATGCAGAAGTTTGAATTAAGATATGCAACTCCAGCTACGTTAATTGCACAGCTGGAGTCTACATACCTTAATTCGAACTTTAACACTGTCTCCACAGCGGGTGGTTGACAACTGTTGTGGCTTCACCTCTCAGAATTCCCAAAGGGGGTCCAGATCACAGTGGATAATCTCCACTGAGTGGACAAAGCTCTTTTCTGAGAAGACCGATACTTATCTCCACCTCTTGAAGGAGCTGCCATGTCTGTGTAGTAGCAGAAAGAGGCTTTATGTAACTGAGTAGGCAGAGCAAACTGAGTTATGTTTTCTCACTGTCCTATTTTTGTAGGAGCTAATAGATGCTGGAGCAATTGGAGACATCTGCCACATACAGCATCTGGAACCCGTAAGTGCATGCTCAGTGGTATTGTCTGAGTTTAGGTATGCATATTAATCTGTGCTTTAGTAATTAAAAACATTTAGCATATGTGCTATTTAGCATCTTCTCAAGTGTGCTAGAAGTAACTAATTAAGTTCTGAATACTGTTGTTCCTTTTCCTTCTTTGTTTCAAAATGTAATTAATTAAATAGGATTTGAGACAACAGACTTTTACTATTTTTAAGTCTTGTGTATTTTTTATATTTTTATTAATTGTTGAGCACAAAAACAATTATAAATTTTTGTAAGTGCTTTAGAAAAAATGCTTAATCTTGTTACCAGAACTCAGGGGTGAATTACTTGAGAAATGCTGCTTCACTTCCATGACACTTGTAATGAGAAGCACCCCTAAACAATTTTTGTTTTGAAAAATGTGATCCATTTTTAAAAGTATGTGTGTGGAGGAGGAGGGAGAATTTCTTATTGTTTGTCCTATCTTATTTGACAGATTTGATTTACTTCACCACCACTTAATCCCCGTATGAATGTAGCTCCTTCTTCTGTATATCTTTTTTGTATACCAATAGCATCTTTAGACACAGCAGGCATGTGAAACTTTTGGGAACAGTTTGTGGTAACTTCTAATCAGAGCTATGAAAAATGCTGAGAGCATTATTTTGTGTGGACTTTACCATTTTTTAAAATTTATCAGCAAAATGTTGGATTTTTATTTCTAAAGTTGACAGTCAGAAAAAAATTAGCCAGTTATTACTGTTTAAAGTTAGTGAATTTTTTTAAATTCAAGCATTGAAATTAAATTTCATATAAATTCAATAACATTCCTGCCCTGCCATTTCAGTTGTGGTTTAATGTCAGAAAGCAATGTGGCTTACAAATTCCAAGCAGTCAGACGTGTTCATTCACTATTCTTTTTTAGGATGAATAGCTCAGTTTCCAAGTATAGTGGACAAATGACAGTAATTAACTTTGCTCTAGGTAACACTCACAAAATTAAAGTCACATATATTCTCTCTCCAGTTCAGGGCATTTTTAATAAACTGGCAAGAGTCAGGTGTTTAAAAGCAGATTTTTCTGTGATCTTTGTACATTAATAACATTCAGGAAATTAGCCTCCTTTTAGTGAAAATAAGTTTAGATATTCAACAAATTCTGCTTGTCACAGTAAGCCAAACAAATCTGGATTGGATCATTCTCAAGCAAGATGCCGAATTATTTGTTCACACTTAAGCAGATTGGGAAGGACTGTGATTTTTGTTTTGCTTCCCGGAACTCCATTTTTGGAGGTTATAGGAAGTATAAACTGTTACAGTCTGGCCCAGTGTCTCTTGGTATAGACATCTGTCTGAGTGGATCTGCATACTGACACTCATATGCTTCCAAATCTGGTGGGTGTGAGTAGAGTTTCATCCTCATTTCTGGGTGTGGGTCCTTAAGACACACTCTGAGACTTAGTCCTCTTTGTGCCTTTCCTTGGGACATGAGGCATTGCTGCCTTCATCCTGTGGATGCTCTGGGCTTGTAATTTAAGCCCCTTAGGACAAACGAAAGCAAATAACACAGATTTGGCAAAGGAATTTCTTAATCACAGAAAGTTCACTCTTGAAAGTAACAAGTGATCCTATGGTGTTAGGCAAGGACTAGATTTTTATCAATGCAGGGCTAGGGCATCTGGGCCGTAGCTCAGGCTCTCCATCCGTACCGTGTTTCTGTCCTACAAGTCAAATATGAAGGACACAACAAGATGAGTGGTCCAACAAACAGCTTTATTTAACACAATACCAAACCTAACTAATAGGACACCTTAGACTAGAGAACAAAACACAACATTTGATTGTCACAAAAAATAAAACAGTGACATGAAGCCAGAACCGAAAATACAAATACCAAAACTAGGCCAATACAATAAGTAGAGGATCATACCGCTGTGTTCTTGATATTCAGAGGCAAGGTGGGAAGATGCCACAGGAACAGGAGACACCACAGAAAGGGAACTCAGGAGAGCAGGTCACTGGCCTACGTGCTCAGGCAGGTGGGGAAGGAGTGTCTTTGCTTTTCTTCAGCTCTTCCCCTGTTGACCTGTCGTTGTGTGTGTAGTATGGACAAAGAGGCAAGTGACAGGTGTGTGGGTGTGGATATCCTGAGGAATCCACTGCCTCAACCCTACTACTGTTACCCTGACTTCAATCAGATCTGCTCTGTGCCAGCTACTGCTGCTGGGTGTGGGGAGGCAGGGCTGCTCCACCACTGAGGACTGTTCCAGACTCACTCTGTGGCTGGAGATCCCCAGTCTCTCAGTGGTAGGGGGGTAATCATGCTCCTGCTTCTGGCAGCTTATCGAGCCAGCAGCCTGCCCCAGCTGCCCGAAGGAGTTAAAGTTGAACTGCCTCTCCAGCACCGCAGAGCCACAGCAAGCGTGCAGAGGGCCCTGAGGGGCAGATGAATGCCCCTTATATTCCCTCCTGTTGCTGGACAGATTGGGGTCAGGTGTCCCCATGTTTCCTGCCTTTCCTTTTTCTGTCTTTTTTCATAAGAAAGGCCATACTGGGGCAGACTAAAGGTCCATCTAACCCAGTGCCCTGTCTTCCAGTGGTGGTCAGTGCTGGATGCCCTCTCCTGTCATCCTTTTCCAGCCTCTAACAAACAGAGGCTAGGGACACCATTACTATCCATCCTGGCTAACAGTCATTGAATAGCCATTTCAGGCATAGGATAGTGACAGGGAGGCTGACAGCAGCCTCAGAGGAAAAATCAAAATGGTGGACATAAATAACACTGGTGACCTTTCCCCAACAGTGGCACCTTAGAGATTACCCAAAATATATATAATCATGAGGTTTTCTGGGAAAAGCCCACTTCATTGGATGAATTGGAGTCACCAACTCATCTGGTGGAGTGGGCTTTGCCCACTAAAACTCGTGATTTTATATATTTTGGTTAATCTCTAAGGTTCCACAGGACCACTAGTTTTTAAAGTTATAAACTAACATGGCTACCCCTCTGACATTGTTGAAAGTATAACTCCATATAAAAAAAGACAACCACGGTAGGGATGTTAAAGACTAGTTGACTATCCGATAAGCATTTGATTATTGGATAGTCTTTTGAGAAGTGGACTAGTCGATTCTCCACCCCCCCTCCGCAAGATAGAGGCAGCAAGGGGGGTAAAGGGGTACTTCAAAGTGGCAGCGCCACACAGCTGTGCGGTGCTGCCGCTTTGAAACCCCAAGGCAGCGTTTCAAAGGGGCAATATGGGAGCCCGGGGTCAGCTGGGGACTCCCCATCTGATCCCAGGCTCTGCACACCATTTCCCCAGAACCCGGAGTCAGTTGGGGAGTTTGCAGCTGACCCCGGGTTCTGTTGCCGCAGGAAGCCCAGGATCAGCTGGGAGTCCCAGGCTGACCCTGGGCTCAATGGCAGCTGCCCCTTAGAAACACCAGAGGTGGCATTTTAAAGGGCCAGCTACCGTGGAGCCTGGGGTCAGCTGGAGACTCCCAGCTGATCCCGAGCTCCCCATGTCATTTCCCCAGAACCCGGGATCATCTGGGGAATCCCCAGCTGACCCCGGGCCAGCCGTGGATCAGTTGTGCGGTGGCTGCCTCTTTAAAATCCCGCCTCCGCACTTTTCAAAGGAGCAGTGAAGCCTGGGGCAGGTTCTGGGGAAGTGCTGTGTGGAGCTTGGGGTCAGCTGACCCTGGGCTCCTAGCGTCATACAGAGTAGCATGGAAGTGGGGGGGAGAGGCTCCATGGCTTTGAAATGCACAAGAGACCCCGCCGGGGACTCTTGTGAATTTGAAAGCAGGCGCCCGTGTGCAGCCCAAAGTCAGCGGGACTTCCCACTGGCCCCGGGCTGTACACGAAGTTCCGCATTCCTTCTTTGAAATGTACAAGAGGGAATGTAGAAGTGCCTATTGACTAGTTGATGGAAATTCCATCGACTAGTCAATTAACCGCATTTTAACATCCTAAACCATGGTGAGCATTAATTGGTAACTTTGATAGTCTCCTAGGTGTTGCACTGAGGGAAGCTTGTACCTAAATTTGCATCTGACTATTATTAATTAAGCCTCAGTGGAAGTTGCAGATACCACCAAACCTCATCTATCATAGGTGTTTGCTGACCCAAGAATGCCACAGTAAATAAAAACGGTGCTTACTTTAAAGGGGCCAAACCATATATTGTAAAAGTTTTAAAGGTACAACAAGAAAGACAGGTAAACAGTAATATTTTCCAACCCCAAGAAGGAAAGAAGATAGAAAAGTACCCCACAAACACTAGGTTACACAAAATACAATAATTACACAGTCCAGTAGTTGACAGTGGGTGAGAAGCTCCTGTCTCTCAAACCTTTGGCTAATTGAAAGCCTCTGGTGAAAGACACGGAGGAGATCCCTCGCAGCGGTGACCCTCTGCGGTGCTCTGGACCTCAAGCCTTGGGCTCCTTCCGAGCCCTCAGCGAGGAACAGAGAGGCGATCCCTCGGAGACCCTGGGGACGGGTCTGGTGCAGGCAGGTGGTGATGATCCTCGTCTGGGGCCTTCCGCTCCTCGGCGCAGGAATCACCGGTGCAGACTTGCCTGGCGCTGATCTTCAGGTGGCTTCTGCTCTTCAGCAG